TGTGTGTGTGTGTGTGTGTGTGTGTTGTGCTCAGGGACGAGTGGGACTGGATCCAGAAGCTGTCGGCCACAGGTGAGACGGAGCACGGCAGGACAGAGGGCGAGGAGGGTGGGCCCAGAGCAGAGAGCCACGCCCCCTTGCTGTACTACGAGCTGCAGACGGCGATCAAGTCTCTGCTGAAGCACATCAACATACCTCTGCACCAGGTACGCACCGAGGACACGTGTGTCCGTGAACACTGATCACAGATGTAACCATGGTGACGGCATGAGACATAAAACAGAATGAGATGTGTTGACTGTTGTTGACGTGTTCGTCCTCAGGCCCGTCACTTCCGTCTCTACAGTCAGGAAGTTGTGGAGCTCGGTCACAGCGTCTCCTTCCTGCTGCTGCTGCCGGCGGCCGATGACGTTTGCTCCGCCCCCGGGCAGTCCAACCCCTACACCCCCCTGTCAGGATTCCTCCTCCTCCCCCTGCCAATGTTTGAACTGGGTAAGAGCACGCACACACACACACAAACACACACACACACAAACACACACACACACTCACACACACACACGCACACACACACACACACGCACACACACACACACACACACACACACACACACACACATTGACCTGCTCTCTCTGTCATCTTCACTCTCGTCTCATGATCTCATTCTGTTTGTTGTTCATCGTCCATCTCTTCTCTTCCTGCAGTTCATTTCTGCACCTACAAAGAGAAGTTCATCAGTCTCTACTGTCGTCTGTCCTCCGTCCTGGACCTGGACGCCCTCATTACCCAGCAAGCACTGCGGGAGGCCATCACCGACAGTGAGGTGACCACAGCCAAGCAAAGACATCAGCTCATCCTGGACTACATCCAGGTGAGACACAGATCACTAAACGCTGTTTCAAATAAAACGTGGTGGATTCTTTTTAGTGAGTGTCTTTGTCCTGTTGTCTCTGTGAAATCTTCCTGAAATATTTCTTTATCTGCACTTCCTGCTTCACATTTCATGTCTGAGTGTGTTTTCTGCTGCGTTCGTGCTTTGTCATCAGATGAAAGTCACGTCTTTATAAAAACCTGGAGACAGTGAAACAAAGTCTGGAAACAAGTTAATGGAAACAAACTAAAGTTTCAGGACTGAATTCTTTAATATGTGTGGGAAAAAACTACTTTAACTACGACAAAAAGTTTAAAAATAAAAGTTGGATTCACAAACAGATTCACTCTGATTGATTCTGATTCCAGAAGAGATGAACTGTTTGAAAGAGTGAAATTAATTTCACCTCCAGTTTAATGATGTTTCTGTTTTTGTGTCACATCTTGTGAAAATAAATCAAATTTTATCATCGTGTAATTTCATGAGACGCATTAAAGACCTAAAACCATCATGTTTGATAAAATCATGACGACACAGAACTTATTGATCAAGTCTCAGTCTGTGTGTGTGTGTGTGTGTGTGTGTGTGTGTGTGTGTGTGTGTGTGTGTTAGCTTTTTGATCATTGTAATAAAGTTTTTGAAAAAAATAAATCAAACATATCTGCATAGAAACAGAAACCGCTTTGTGTTTCTGTAGCAACTAGACGAAATGCGTCGGGACCTTCGTTGGATCACGGATGCTTTGCAGTACGCTCGCTACAAGCAGCCACGTGGCGGCGTACCAATCACCTGCCTGGTGGACGCCAACGCTCCAGAGAGTATCTTCGACCAACAAAAGACCGACTCCACCTCCTCGACCATGGACTACTTGCCCACACCTTCGCCCTCGCCTGAACTCCACAGGAGGAAAGCCATCAGTGGTGAGTCGCCCACAAAAACACACAAATAATATTTGAAGGTTCTATATGAATAAATAAACTTTAACTCTGATCTCAGACTCTCTGCTTGGCTCCGATGAAGACGGCTCCTCTGAGGTTTTTCTGCCAACAGACAGCGACTATGACTCCAGTGACGCACTGAGCCCCCGCGAGCTGGACCTGCTCTACTCTCCGTCCCAGGACCTTTCCCAGCAGGCTGTGCACTCGCTGGGCGGCAGCGCCCCTGATGTGCTGCAGATCCACGAGCTCAGGTGATTTGTGTGTTTGTAAATGTGACACGTTCTTTTTTGAAGATGTGTCACTTGACACCAGGAACCATCCGTCTGTCAAACATGTCGTCATCGATCATATGTCTTCTGAGTCTCGATTGATGTCATCAATTCATTCATCTGATTGGTTGATTTAACATCCTGGCAGGAAGTTAATGACATGACATCATATTGTGATTCTTCCTCAAACACGACGTATCCGCTCGTTATCGTTTTGTCAGTTTGCGTTAATAAATTGTTGATGTTCCGCTGACGGCAGCTCGGAGGTCAGCTGATCAGTTTGTTTGGTCACTTGACTTCCTCCTTGTCGGCCATGTTGTTTACGTGCTAACACATTTCATTCTCTCTCAAAGGTACAGCGTCTTCCCCCCCAAAGACCTCCCCCTCTCCCCAACGGTCAAGGATCCCACAACTAAAGACGCCCCTCTCTCTTCCCCCCTCCTCCCCAACTCTCCCTCTCAATCCAAAGACTTCCCTCTCTCTATGTCCACTTTACCTCGCTCGCCCTCCCTCTCCAGGACCCTCTCTACCTCTCCTTCCCTCCCCCTCTCCCCCAGATTCTCCAAAGACCTTCCTCTTTCCCTCCCTCTCTCCCCGGCTCTGTCCGACACCACCAAGACTCTGGAGGGCCTCTCTCTGTCTAAGAGCCACCAGGAGGAGGTTGCTCCCCTAAGGGCCCTCACCAACCCCTCCTCCAAACGCAAACTGCTCTCCAGGAGTCACAGGGGCCAGTACTTCAGTGGGCCGCAGGGCTGGCTGAGGGGCCACAGTGGGGAGAGTCACACGGGGTCTTTATCTGAGGGCGTCTACACCAAGCAGCTCGATACGAACCTTCCCCTGGTCGGGGACCCGCCCAACCCACAGGGCACCACCTACGTTAGCCACGCCTCCCACGTCCTTGAGAGTCAGAGGAGCGGACAGCGTGAGCCACGGCCCCACGTCCGCAGGATCTTTGTGGAGCCCTGCAACAAGCCGTCGCTGGGCCAGGAGAGGAGGGGCTGGGACGAGGAGGAAGGCGGAAAGATGACGGAGAAGGTGTCAGCTGCAAGTGTGTCGGGGGTCGAGGCTCATGGGGCGGAGTCTGGAGGGAAAGGGGAGGGGCCAGAGGGAGCCACGGCGCCGGACATAGACTCAGACGACCAAACCAATGCCCAAGTCTCAGAGATACTGAGCAGCACGCTGTAGAGTTTGAACCACTTCTGAGGATTTAAAGCTTCACTGGGCAAATTTTTAACAACAGCTTTTATTTTAATTCACAGTGATGCATCCTGTCAGTGGTTCTGTCGCCATGTTTGACTCTTTATACGACGCCGCCCCTCACAGGTCACTGAGGCAGACATGCAGCACTTGGTCCAGTCCTCATCCTCAGAACCCAAACAAGTGTCTTATTGATGCCTCTTGTGGACAAAGCAGGGACAACAGCATTGACCGAGACAAAGAAGACGATGCACTTGAAAACCAACTCGTACAAGTTTTAGTCAGTTTACGTTAGATTAGCCTCCATTAAAATGTTTCGGTCGGAAGCAGTCGCTCAGTGGTTCTTAGAACAACTGACCCATTTTTGACCCAATGCTTCCAAGGACCCACAGGAACTCAACTCAGGAACTCACTAAGATTCAAGGGTTTATTGTCATATGCACAAAAATTACATTATGCTGGCAATGAAATGCTTGAGTCCCAGGCTCCCCTCCAGCCACGCTCAGACATAACATAGGGAAAAATAAAAATGAAAATAGAATATAACATTTAAAAGATGAAATAATATATATAAAATATATAAAATAAAAACAGTAGTGCAAATATTATAAGGAACTAAAGGCCTGTTTGCGTTTCCACTGAATCAGAAGAAATGTACAGATGAGACATATTAGATAACAGTAAATGGTCAGTATTTATCCAGATGTTTTCTACTCTTGATGACACTCAAGCTCTTTACAGTTCAGGTTTTCACACAGACATTCATACAGTGCATCTATGAGGGGCAATTTGGGGTTCAGTATCTTGCCCAAGGACACTTCAGTATGCAGATTGGGAAAACTGGAATTGAACTTCCTGGTAAGAGGACGACCCCTTAGCCACAGCCGCCTAAAATGATGTTGTTCCTGAAAATCTGATCCAAAAGTTCCTGAACCTTCAGGAAGTTCTACCCCAGAGAACCTGGAACAGTCGTCAGTTTGGTTCCTGGTTCCAAACAAAGGTTTAGTTCTGAGTTCCTTCGAGGTTCTTGGTCTCTAACAAAAGAACGTCTGCTGCTTGACTCCCAGTTTTGGAAACCAAACAGGAAGTGAGAGACAAACCAACCTACTGCTGCGATTGATATCAGAACTTCTCCATCTTCTCACAGTGAGAAGATTAAACTTCAACCTGATTCTGAACTTTGCCCCGTCTGGCTTTAAACTAACCTCAGATTCTGGTTGATGAACATCGAGAGTCAACCCCCCCCAACCCTTTCTCTCTCTCTCTCCCTGTTGTCTCTCTATCATGGTGATGATTGGTGTTCAGGACTGATGGCCAGCGGCCCTCGGGCCTCTCTGTAGTTGCTGGTTCAACTCTGCCAAGTGTCAGAAGCCATGGCATTGACTGTTACAAAGAAAAAAATCAATGCAACAAGAAACCAAGCACTGCTTCTCCGAAGAGGAACTTTGCACACGGCTCTGAAGTCGACTGTGGCTCTTAAAGAAACCTTTTCTCCCACTTTAGTTAAAGTCTCTTAAACTCTCGAAAGGTTTTTGAGGTTTCCTGCTGATGATTTTCGTGGCTCCGTCTTAGAGCATGAATTCTCCTCTATTTGAAGTGACTGTTTCATTTTTCCCATCATGGTCTCCTGTGATTATTGAATCCGTCTTTCAGTCAGTGTTATTTTCAGCTGCTCCCGTGGGGTCTTAATGTGGTTTAATAAACGTGTGGTCAGTTTAAAGAAAAATATATAATTAGCCGAGGTATCGAACATGTGAGTGGCCTCGGGTTAAGACGAGAAAGCTTAAAATAGGAAGTATTTTTGTAACCCTGGATTTAAACCTGTGCTATTATACCTGGAATGTTGACGAGTCGTCGAAGCTGCATGTTGTTGGCATGAAGTCATTTGTAGCTGTGGGTTTTTTTAGGGGGGGGACTGAAGCCTTGTGTCCTCCTGGTTCAGTGTCAAGACGTCAAGGGTCATAGGTCGGGGGCGGGGTCAGGATACGATTAAACAGTCTGCACTTTGCCCCTCGCAGTCGACCTGACGCCATTTGTGTTGTGCTGTTGTGTTGACGCTCTGTTTAGTCGGTTCTGTCGGTTCGGTTCTGTCGGGTCGGTTCTTGTGTTCCCTCACAAGCTGCTGCTGTTTGTTTTCTTTTATACTCACGACCAAAAACTGCAACAGTCTGAGAGCTGGTGGAACATGCACAGATTTAACACGTATGCACAGAATTTACAAACTGCGTTTTTAATGTTTGCACATAGCAATTATGGAATAAAAGCTAATGAAGTATTTTATGCAGTTGGGCATTAACTGTGGCAGCTTTGATCATTAACGAGTTTAATGTCCTGATGTATGAAGTGAAGTTACAGCTTCTGTCGTTTGAATGTGTAGAAATTGATCCATCATTCAAATATTTACGCTGCAGGACTCAGTATTCCAACATTTCATGAATATGTTTATTTACACTCACTTGAAATCAGATCAGGCTGATGTCAGGTGTTAGCCTAGCTTAGCATAAAGACTGGAAGCCGGGAGAAACGGTAACATATAATTTAGAATATCTTGTCATGTCTCTGCACTGGTGACACCTAGTGGTTGGAGTCATTATGTTTTCAGGTTCTCTGTCCATCTAACTCTTGTGAACACGATACCTCAAAAACATCTTAAGGGAATTTCTTAACATTTGGTACAAACGTTCACTTAGACTCACAGATGAACTGATTGGATTCCAAAGGTCAAAGGTCACTGTTACCTCAGACGAGTCCAGTTGGTGGTCTTTTACGATGCACTATCTCTGTTTCCAGTCTTTATGCTAAGCTAGGCTAATCAGCCTCTGGCTGCAGTTCAACACTCACAACGTTTTTGGCATCAGGCTCATCATGTGAAGCTCAGCGAGAAAACAAATGTCAATCATCAAACTTCCACAGTCCTTGATTAACCAACTAAAACTGTAAAGTTGAATTATTTCTGTAGCTCAGGCATTTATCAGCTGTGAAAAGATTTGATTAAATAACTGCTAAGCCATAAAGGAAAACCAAGAACCACAGAGAAACACAACGCACCTGAAACGTCACCAATAACGAAGCTCTAATTCTTATTATACGTTATTTTGGAACCTGATTTAGTTGAGAAGGATTTTATTATATTGTTTTATAATATAATATCGGTGAAGTTCCTGTCTCTGATTTAAAGCATCTGAAGGAGAAGTTTGTTGAAGCTACTCTTCACTTGTTGTTTTATTTATTTCACTTCCTTCATGTTTGGACGTTAACGACCTTAATTCACCTCCACAAGCTTCTGTCTGTATATTTCTGCATCACCAACATTTATTCAGATTATTATGAATCCACTTTATTTATTTTTAGCAAACGGATGATGTGATTCTTCAAATGTAATAAATAAACCTGCAGTGTTTTTATTCACATGATCAGATGAATTTTAACAACTGAAATAAATGTTTCTCATGTGGATGTTAATGTGCATTTAAAACCTGTGAGTTTGTCTTTTATCAGGAATCAGCTTCAGCAACAGTGTGTCTGCGTGTGTGTGTGTCTGTGTGTGCGTGTGTGTGCATGTGTCTGTGTGTATGTGTGTGCGTCTGTGTGTGCACTTGTGTGTGCGTGGCAGTTTTCATCACCGCCTCCTCGCCGCCGTATCTGCAGCATTCTGGGTATGTGAGTCAAGCGCTGCCAATCAGAAGTAAGGTGAAACCATCGCGCTCCAGTTTCCTTAGTTAGATTGAATTTGATTCATTTAAAAAAAGTCTGAACTTTGACCATTAAAAAGTTATTATC